ATGTTATCAAGTAGGCTGCTGTTTGCAGAATTACCGGACTTGCATCGTCCCGTCCGCGGGAGTTCACACTCCCGAGTCGAACTTGCAAAGTCCGAACTACCGAGGACACAAGTCCGAAATTTGCATACTTGGTATTGAGAAACGCGCGCAGACCTACATCACCAGACTATTTGCCTATTCTTCACGGTACTTTAGACCGCGATGGAAACGCAGACAGCAACAGGTCTGGGGGAAAAAAAGTTCCTGGGACAAATTGTTCCAGGTAATTTCGGTGGAAAAGCGACTTAAGAAATATTTGACCCTAGTACTTCTCAAAAAGTAAAAAAAAAAAAAAAGAATAAAGAAAAAAGTTTGTAATCTGTGCAATTAAAGGGGAAAAGTTAGATGCGATTTAGGGTTAATTGTCGATTTATAAAGTTAGCATAAAGACAATTATTCAGTTCATCTCGTATAGGTAATGAATTTATTAGGGGCCAAGCACCGAAGGTGCAGTGGCACCTATTGTGTCCGTTAGCGTCATTTTTCTTCTTCCGCCGCAAGTCTATGGCAGCCCATAGAACCGCTTGCGGGAAAGTTGTGAAATTTGGCACACTGATAGAGGACAGTCTCCTTGGCTTATGCCTACAACATAGATACCAAATATGCCAGAGTATGCTGAACTTCCTGTCCGCCATTTTGATTTATGTTGAAAACCTACTTTTTTTAACTCCTCGCCACTCGTTGGTCCGATTTTCACCAAAATCGAGTCAGATGATCTTCAGACTGTGCTGACAAAAACTTATGGATTTCGTGTCGATAAACGAAACTGTTTTCGTACAGCGCCACTACAAATTTTAGGCATAGTGCCAAACTGCATCTGAGGCTGTATCTCTGCAAATATTTGACATATTGACACCAAACTTTGTAAGTACATTTGTCACCTCACACAGAACACACCAAAATTATTTGATTACAGCGCCACCTGTTGGTCAAAAGTGATAAGCCATTTAATCATATTACTAGTGGTTGTATTTATGATTTTTCAGCCATTTCAATTACAATCATCCTAAAATTGCTTTTATTACTCATTGTTGCATTTGGTCTGATGCTCCATGCCATGCTTAGCTTCTCATTTTGCCTCTGGAGTGCTTGGCCCCGCAATTGCTGCTTGCAGCTATATTTTACATTGTTTTCGTGCATTGTTTTGATGCTTTTACTGTAAAACAGAGCATTTGTTGACATTCCACCTTGAGGGCATGAGGACAACCATCATATTTCTGAAAGCAACAGTTTTTACACTACACTTAGGCTGGTATGGAAACTTCTGACCACAGAAATGTGAGCTGTGAATGCTGGGGGCTTTCTGACTGCTCTTTTTCATTCTTACAGTTTGGCTGCAAACTGAGCAGTAGGTTGGTCTCAAAGTCCAAAACCACAAGTGCATGTTGCATCAAAGCTACAGCCTGTGCAAACAACAAACAACAACAGAATGGTTGCTCACATTTCTTTTGTACCTGAAGGTCTTTTTGTTCTTCTAAATGTAAGGTAAGTTTATTATCATAAATGCAATCCATAGATAAAATTCGTCCCTGCTTTAACAGCTTTGATCTCTCCATTGATTCAGTATATTTTTTACTTTTTGCTCTAACTTTTAATTATAATTGTTTATTAAAATTGCTTTTCTACTGCAAAAAAAGTATACAAAAGAAAATTTTCATTTTGGCCCCAGACAAATACAGAATCTTAAATTGAATGTATAATTTATCTGTAACGTTTGTTATTGTATACAATGTACACAATTAATGTTGTTAATGTACACAAATCTCAAGTACAGTTTTGTTCAACATCAATTATTTCTCACATTGTTTCAGATGTGTTATTTCCATAACCATGGCAGTCTGTTATGAAGGAGGAGGGGCATTTGTTAAAGTAAGAGTGTCTCGTGAGAATACTGCTTGATAAACAATGTGGCTTTGTTGCTGTGAAAGAGGGTCAATCTTGTGGTTGGAAAACATCTATACATTGATACACAAACATTCAAAAGCAAACAACACATGCCATTGTGTAACTTAATCTAAACTTTGTTCTGAATCTAAAATATTTACAGAAATTACATATAATAGTATATAATGTATAAATATATTTTATGCTAATCAACAGACTTGTTTTAAGCATTTCTTGTTTCCTGAATTATTGATACTTTTGTACTGCATTTTTTATTGAACAAATTATTAGTATTACTAATGTAAATTACATGCAAAGCTCATGCATAAGTTGGTCCGCTGATGTTCACAGCAGCAAAGCTCAGTCTGCTCTGAACAACTACTTCCTCCTATTGACTCTACAGGAAATGCTTAAATTGTCTCCGCCTACTGTATTAGGTCTCACATCATTTCCTCATGCACAAAATAACTCCTCTTCTTTCAGGCTCATCGTTAGTGCTGCTAAATTTATTTTTCTTTATTACTTTATTTCATTTCATATTATTTATTCCACACTTATCTTCTCTGAATGTAAGCTAGTTGAATCTGAGTCTGTTACAGGACAGATCATAATCTAAAAGATCAGATTTAGCTTCTGTCTGAGCCTCATAACCCAGATTTAAAAGTGCTAACTCCTTTTCAATGATTGTCATTAAATCAGGATGTCATCCAATCCGGTGTTTGTTAGTCTTGTATTTGTTTGAATGGATCACAGGAGCACATAGATTTTATTATATAAATTTAAAAATATATAAAAAAATGAAGGAATTTTAATCGAACATCAGCATTAACAGGAAAGAAGATAAATTTGTTAATTTCTCTTGGCTGAACACCTTTAGCTGAAAAAGAATACTAAGCTATACCTAAGAAGAAACTTTCAACTTTCATATTGTGTTTCTTAGAAATCTTTCTGCTGCGATGCTCCAATGTGACAATCGTTCATCACATTATCACTTCGCTGGCAAGGCTTCACTTAATTTAACTTGTTTTCTTTGCAACACATTTGGTTTAGACATTTGCTACACAAATGATTGAAGAACTTGAAAGGCTGGTTGGTCAGTGTCTTTCTGTTTGTTTTGTCATGTCTTATATAAAAAATAGTCCTTTACCACTGAGCACACGCAAAGGCTGCATGGTGTAGATCATCTGTACAGAAATGAAGGCTACAGTCACTGTTCCTTTTTTTGAGTCTCTTTGGACTGAACTTTAGTTTCTACAGGAAGCACATCTTTGTGAAAGAAATAATGACCTGGAAAAATGCACAGAAATACTGCAGAGAGCACCATGATGACCTGTCCACTGTCAATAAAGAACAGGCACTACAGCTTTCCAGTAATCCAGAAAACAAAAATGCATATTTTTGGATTGGACTGCACATGATTTTTAACAACCTAGAAAACTGGAGTTGGTCTGGAGGTGAGGATCAAAAAACTGACTATTGGGACATTCAGGAATCGAACAATGCTGTTGAAAAGTGTGGCTGTGTAAGCAGACATACTGCTAAACTGCACAATGCTATGTGCATTCATTATTTTCCATTCTACTGTATGGAGGTGTTTAAGCCCATTCTGGTGCATCAGAATAAGACATGGGATGAATCTCTGAACTACTGTTGGCAGAACTACATTGACTTGGTGAGCCTAAGTTCTCAAATAAATATGGAAGAGGTGATAAATAACACTATAACATCCCAGACAGCTTATGTGTGGACTGGTCTGCGCTTTATGGTTGGTCACTGGTTCTGGGTCAGTGGTGATAATCTTCAATATAAAGCCTGGTCTACAGTGGGGGAACCCCAGTGCCCTGCTAGGAACCTGCACTGTGGAACTCTGGATAGAAGAAGGAACATTTGGCAACCCAAAGACTGTGAGGAGAAACTCAACTTTGTCTGCCTTATGAAGCCATAAATGTTCTTCATTCCACAAATGTTTCTCCACTTGAAAATAGGCATGGTTGTGCTCAGCTTTTCTGTACACTTTTACCATATTTGCTTGTACTATGTGTGTCAGGTTGTTTTTTAATGTCAGGACTGTATTCTCATGCACAATTGTACCCTTTTTATTATTTCATAAACATTTTACTTATTCTAGAACACTGTGTCTGTCTGAACTACACATCTAAGAGAAGTGATATGAGAATTTTAATAGAATTTTATTTCACGTTTGTTCATATTTTGGGAAAAGTTTATAGCTTACTAATTTTGCATAAGATAATATTGAATTTTTAAGCTCTTGAATAATTACCTATTGAAGTTTTGGAGTTTATACTTTTAATTTGTATGGATTGCTTGTTTTCTTTGTATCATTGTGTTTTTGTATTGGGTGTGTATATTCTGTGTTGGGTTTCTGTTAACATTTGTTAATCAAATATTTGACTGAAGTGCTGATTGGTCACTTTTTTGTTGATTTCTTTAAAATTAAAATTGAATAATAAAATAGAATTGTGGCTGAGCATACACACTGTGTAGAACAGCTTATGTAAATCCGGTGCAAAAATGCCTATATATAGGCATATAACCACCAAATAGTGTCTCTAGGAGATCCTGATTCAACATAAATATACAGAAAAATCTATACAATAAAAAAATATAATTAAATAATATTAAATATTTTCTAGGCATGTGAATCATTGGGCATTTAGTAATTCAGATTCTAGTTCATTGACGGTTACTTTACCAATTCTAAACAATTCTTCTTTCTTAATTCTTAGTATTTTAAGAAAGAATTATTTAGAATAAAGCAATGTAATTATTATTGCATTTACATTTACGGATCTTAGCAGTTTGCTGACAGATCATATTTGTTACATAAACTGGTTTCAGAGTTCCTACTGGTGGTGTGAATTCAACTGGCCCAGGGAAAAAATTAGTTATTGGGGACCGCCCTGGTGGCTTAGTCCTTCCTATAACTGAATTCCTTTAACTATATGCTGCAAAAGCCCTTTATGCTGACATAAAACAAAACAGGTGATCCTACCAAGTAATGATGCATGATTTCTTCAAACATTTGTTACACAATTATTAAAGGGTGTGACCTTCTGGCCAGTTCCTTAGAGTTTTTTTATTGGTCTCTTATAAAAAAAAAAAGTATTTAAGAGGTTTGATAACACTGAGCAGACACAAATTGCTGTATAGATTATTTGTATAGAAATTAAGGCTGCAGTCACTGTGTTCTTTATCTCTTTGAACTAAACATCAGTCTACATAGAAAACACATTATTGGGACCTATTAAAAAAAAAAAAAAAAAAAAAAAAATTTTACCAATGACCTGTCTTCTGTCAATAAACTCTTAAAAATAAAGGTTCTTTATTGGCATTGATGGTTCAGTGAGGGACCTTTAACATTCATAGGACAAAGAACATTCAAAGAACAAAAGGTTCTTTACAGTGAAAAAAGATTCTTTAGAGTGGAAAAATTTCTTTAGATTAATAAAATGTTCTTCACACTACAAAAATAATGGTTCTTTTAAGAACTGTTCACTGAAAGGTTATTTGAAGAACTAAAAATAGTTTTTCTATGGCATCATTGCGAAAACCCACTTTATGAACCTTTATTTATAAAAGTGAAGAAGATGAAATCTGGTGTTTGTTAGTCTTGTATTTGTTTAAATGGATCAGCAGATTTGCCTGCATGGGTAAGTGTGAGGGTTCTGTAAACATTTGTTACTCAAATACTAAAAGCCTCACATTCTGAGCATGACAATAACGCTGAGTGAACACAAAAGGCGGTAATGAAGCAACAACTGACTGTTGGGACAATGGAGAATCAAATAGTGTCCATGGGGGGAAAAATCCACTACATGAGGAGTGCATAGTGTTTCTACAACCTAGATTACTTAAACATAAAAAATGCTAATTAAGGAATATTAATAGAACATTAACATTAACAGGCTTTCAGCCTGACGTTTTCCTCTCTCTCTCCCTCTGTACGAAGATAACCTTGGAACACAGGAGGAAAATGGAGATTGGAAGCTTGGTGCTAACACACCTGTTTTTGTATATCTCCTATATGCAGATATTGTTCCTGGAAACCAGCCTAGAAAGGAATTATCCAGTTGAGGATTTCTGTTTCCAGGAACACATGTTCTTTACCATATAAAGTCTTGTTTTCGTCATTTGTATTACGTTTCTCTATGATGTAATGTATAATCTTTCTTGGTCAATCATTACACCACCTTACTAGAAAAAAAGTATTAAGTTGGACAATGAGCTCTGAAAAAGTTTGTGGACAGAGACTTTGTCTGTGTTCCTTACTCTTCCCAGGGCTGTGCAAGGGGACCTGGAAGTATCTGGTGGCACTGAGTAGGGGTGGGCGCTATACCGGTATGAAAGTGACTACCGGTATTATGTTGTTCCATGATAAGGATTTTGCTATACCGTGGATACCGTTATATATTAATGAATTCAAATTTTTAATTTATATAGTTTTGTTAAATTTTTTTAAAGTGACGTGACATGTGGCCAAGTATGGTTACCTATACTAGGAATTAGTGCTCTGCATTTAACCCATCCTTAGTGCACACACACAGCAGTGAACACACACACCGTGAACACACACCCGGAGCAGTGGGCAGCCATTTATGCTGCGGCGCCCGGGAAGCAGTTGGGGGTTCGGTGCCTTGCTCAAGGGCACCTCAGTCGTGGTATTGAATGTGGGAGAGAGCGCTGTACATTCACTCCCCCCACCTACAATCCCTGCCGGTACGAGACTCGAACCTGCAACCTTTGGGTTACGAGTCCGACTCTCTAACCATTAGGCCACGACTTCCCCCGAATTTGGTATGCTTTGCAATTTTTAACACAAATGACGATAAAGAGTCAAGGCTGAACGTTTTTGTCCTCTTTGTGTGCAACGCCGTACTACACAGGCATTAGTAATCAAACACTTAGAGCATCGTAACAGAACCCAATTAATAGAGCACAAATCGCCTTCTCCAGTGGTTCCCAAATTGAGGGGCGCGGCAAGGCTGAGGGATAGTGTACAGTCAGATTATTTTGCAAAAGAAACCTCTGCAGGGTGATAAAGACTACACTATGTAATTTTCCCGCTTATCATGCGGCCACTTGCCTGATAAGTAAATAATTCAGCGCAAAATATAAATTTGACAGCACCTGCTTGAGCGCCCTGTTATCAGTTGTAGCAGTTGTGGTTGTATCAATAACGGACCACTAGATAATGCGATTGAAGAATCAGAGTTGTATTGCAGGCAGCCATGTAGAAATATAAATGAACGATGTATGGTTCTGCTCTAAGCAAAAAAGTTACAAGTTTGTGAAAGGACTTCCAGTGGCAGGTAAATGTAAAGCAGATGATGAATATACTTAAGATTCACAAATACCAAGACATCGTGTCTACAGCAGACGCGAGCGGAATGACGTGACAAAAGCAAACAGAAACCAGTGATGTTCTCTGCTGTGGATGCGACACGACACGACAAATCCATATGTTATGTTTTCACTATCATAACATGTAGAATACACTCTTGAATGCACTACGATAAATAACACAGCCACACGCGGGGGTACTTAACTTCTTCACTTGCTTTATTTAAAGGAACACAACTACTAATAATTACTAAAGTGGTGGTGCCACCTACAGGCACTATGGAGAATGACAGTATCCCATACATAACATCTCCTCCCCTCTTAAATCAAGAAACAAACTCCAAAGCATTTTCAAAACCACAAACATTACGCATGTATTTATTCTACGCTAGAGGTAGAGGGTAGACTGCCTCTTGCCTCGAGCCAGTTCGGGGATTATTCTGCCCCATGTCAGAACAGGCTCACTAACATAACTAATTACAGTTCAATCCAGCAGTTTCCATAGTCCTATAATGTCAGACGGTTGGGTGGTTTAATAACTCTGGCTGGATAACGTCTGACCTGCGCTGTTGGAATGTCGAGTTTGCCATGCTTTGTCTGAGACTCTGCTAATGTGTCGCCGTTAACATCTTGTTTCTTTGTTGGTGGTGCAGATGAAGTGGCATTTACAGAGGTCTGCACCGGAGCAGACACATTCTTGTTATCAGGTAATTCTGTCAACTGAGTTTCAACGATTTGGTTTGGAATGGACAAAAGTTGATCAGCATGACGCCTCCATTCCTCAGAAGCACCTGCATCCACAGTATAAGATACTGGACCACTTTGAGCCATCACCACTCCTGATGTCCATCTCTCTCTCCCCCTGTAATCACGAGCCAGCACAACATCACCTACTCCAAACTGTCTCGGCTTTGAACGACCAGCTCGCCAGAGAACCTGAGAGGTCTGTGAGAGTCGCACAGCAACTGTCACACTGGGTTTTAAGGCATCAAGACGTGTGCGCAACTGGTGTCCCAAAAACAACAGGGAAGGGGACTCTTTTGTCGTCGGATGTGGTGTGTTGCGGTACGTCAGCAAGAATGTTTCCAGCCGTTTCTGAAGAGTAGAAGAGCCCTTAGAAGCCTTCAGTGCTTGTTTTAGTGACTGAACAAACCTCTCAGCCTGCCCGTTAGTTGCCGGATGATATGGGGCAGAACGGATATGTTTCACATGGTTGGCCTTCAGGAAATTTGCAAACTCCTGAGAGACAAATTGTAGTCCATTGTCGCTCACAAGGACTTCAGGCAAACCATAATGACTGAAGAGGTTCCTCAAAACTCCAATTGTTTTTTCTGCTGTCATTGATGTCATCAACTGCACATCAGGCCACTTTGAATGTGCGTCAACCACGATCAGGTACATGTGACCCTCACACGGCCCAGCAAAATCTACATGTATGCGCTCACATGGTTTGCTTGGCCACTCCCATGGGTGGAGGGGTGTGAGGGATGGCATTTTCTGTATTTGTTGACATGACTGACACATTTTCACAATAGTGCTCAATGTGAAGGACGGGGTTTATCGTCACCTTAAAGTCACCACAGATGCGCACTGCTCCGTTTTTATTTACTACCGGGACTATTGGGGTAGCCCATTCGCTGTAGTGTACCGGTAACAATACTCCCATTTCAGTGAGACGGTTCAGCTCTGCTTCAACTTTTGGACGCAGAGCATATGGAACTACTCTGGGCTGACAAAACTTGGGTTTGTGTTCAGGTTTCA